AGGATGAATACTAAGTTGATTGCTGAAGAGCTATAGAAGTCTGACCATAAGCCAGGCTCAGGGTTATTATATATAAGTCTAGTTCTGAATATGTTCCTTTGTACCTTAGGTCGATCTGGATCATTTCGATCCAGAATGATCGTTTAGCCCCTAAGTTGTGTTGGATCATATTGATCCAATATGATCGTTATCTTATCATCACGTGACTTAGACCATAGTTCTTCCGTTACCGAGTGAGTTCCTGTTGTTCCCGTGATCCTGCAGTACAAATGTCCTGTTCTAGCCGCCCGACGCCTAAGTGGGTCGGTCAACTGTTATCCATGCATAACGGGTCGTAACAATAGTGAGCTTTTCCAGTTGATATAGTTAGCTGGGTTGGTTATTATACTGAAAGGTTATTAGTTTCATTATGCCTTTTAATTTTTTCTACTAGCTAGGTATTCTTATTGAGATATGTAAGGGTCTAGGACAAGGTTGATGCTATTGGTCTAGCCTACTACTACGAGTACAATAAATCTTCTTGAAGAACAGGAAACAGAACCATATCCTCCCTATTTCCTGGGCATTCTTATAACCTTGCTATTAACCTTGTCGATATTCCTGGAACCTTCTAGCAAATGCGCCATTGGATTTGGTGGGTCCAATAAGTTGTGGCTGAGGGTCTTGCTGAAGGCTGAACACCAGTCTATAGACCGTGACAATTACCCCCTCTCTCCCTCTGTAGGGCTTGGAAGAGAGTTTTTGAGTTCTTCATGTTTTGATAAGTATGTTTGCAGGGCGTCCGTCTCTATCAGTTCTATGACTGGTTCCTATGTTGGCTTTTCGTATCCTAACCATTTTACTAGCATAGAAACCTTTCCTATAGACTTATTATGTTTATAGCGAAGAATTTTGTCAACATAGTAAACCTCTTGTCTATTATTATCGATAATAGCTGGTAACTATAGCTTGTGAACGATTTGTGATAGCAAGAGATTATTTGCTGACCTCTAAATATTTAACATATAGAATACGTTATGAGGACCAGGAGGTGTATTCAACTGTACAGCATATGATCTAATTAACTTGGTTACTATGTATTTAGCATTTTTCTAATCTATCTTTTTCGACAGCCTGTTGGTTTTCATGTTTTGAAGACTAAGCCAGACTTTGTCTCCAACTTTATATTGTTCTGCAGGTTGCCTCGATCGATTGGCATATCGTTCGTAGTGTTCTTAGGCGTCAGCTATTAGAGCTTGCGCTACTTCAGAGGCTTGTTGGATCTTAGCAATAAAAGCCTCCCCTTTTGCAATAGGCGAGTTGGAGGTGGTATGAAGAGGCTTATATACTTCAATTAGGTCAATATAGTAACTATGTGTAGCGAAGAAGGGACTTATTCCTGTTGCTCGTGAAGTTCGATTGTTTATGGCAATTATTGCAATAGCTAACAATTCTGGCCAATTATCTTGGAAGTAGGTTGTATAGCATTATAAGTAGCCTTCAAGCTCTTAGTTCATCTATTCTGTGGCTCTGTCGGTCTCAGGGTGGTAGGCAGTTGAAAGCCGTCTTTAGATCTTTATTAACGCATGAATTTATTGCTACATAAGTGAGGTAAACTGCAGACCTCTATCAGAAACGATAGCTCTAGGGAAACTATGATGCTATATAAAACAGTCTCGCATTACCTTAGCAACCGCTTTAGTGGTGATCTCTTTCATCGGTTTGAATATCATGCTTTTGAACAGCCTATCAGTGACTACTATTATAGATGAATAGCTGTTGACGGTAGGTAGGTCTGTAATAAAGTCGACGGAGATTTCGGTCTACTGACGGTCTGGAATGAGTAGGGGTTTAAGTAGCCCTTATCGTCGTTCTCTCTAAACTGCTTTGCTTCTGCAAATATCGTAATTTCTTATAAATTAGCGGATATCGTTAGACATCCCTAGCTAAGTGAATCGTCAGCTAATAATAGCTTTGAGGAGATCTCATCCCAGGTGACCAGTAGCAGTTGAATCATGAGATTATTAGATAATTTAGGTATGTAGGGGCTTAAAATATAGAATCCAGATATAGTCCCTCTAATAAAGCTGTTTTCTATTATCGATATAACACTTAGAGATTAATATCAGGAGGCCCTATTTGCTTAGGAACTACCTATCTGATCGTAAAACTGCCTGACAGATAAGCTAGTACTAATTGTTATTCTGGAGTGCTTGATCCTAGAGGTTATATAGTTCTTCATCTATAAAAGGGCTTTCAGGTGGCTCTGATATATCTGCGTTTTCGTCAGTAGTATAGTCTTTATTGCCGCTAGACACCTATCCACTTAATGTTTACGTCTGGGGTTATAGCGAGGTAATTATTCTTAGAATCTGTATAGATCTATCTTCTGCTACTTCGAGGAGCTGTTAGTAGTATGCCTGTAGCCTCTTATCGTTAGCATCCTTCGGAAGGTCCTAGTCTCTGCAGGATAATACGTCTAGAACTACTACCTCTTTACTAGGCCTGTGAATAATTCTGAAGTTATATCATGATAGCTCTAATGCCTATCTGACTTATCGCTCAGATAGTTGTTATTTTTCTATAAAGTCTTTGAGGTTCTTATGATCTGATAGTATAGTGAATTCCCTAACGCTTCGTAGCATTCCAGACTATTGCTTTAGATATTCCACTACTGCTAAGAGTTCTTTGTCATAGATGAGGTAGTTTGACTCAGCAGGGGTATATCGTCTCGAATAGTAGGCTACTGGATGCCACTCATTAGTCTCACTCAGTTATGATAACTCTCCGCCTATAGCGTATCCAGATAAGTCTGGCTGCACGCAAGTTAGGCATTCAGGGTCAAACTTCGCCAGCATAGGGGCTATTATTAATGCTGTCTTAAGCTTTTTGAATGCTTGTTAGCAATTATCGGTCTAGTGGTAGGGGATATCCTTTTTAGTGAGGTATGTTAATAGCGCAGCTGTTGTGGAAAAATCCGGAATGAAGTCTCGATAGTAGTTGGTGAATCCAAGGAATCCTCGTACGCCTCGAATAGTTATTGGTGTTTCCCAGTGCTTAATAGCTTTGATTTTATTTAGATCAACACTGATACCTAAGTCTATATCAATAATATAGCTAAGGTACTTGACTTATTTTTATTCAAACTCGCACTTATCGATATCCAGTTGCAGTCCGGCTTCTTAGAGCTTTTGTAACACCTTCAGGACTTTTTGTTAGTGATCATATAGTGTCCCATCTGTAAAAATTAAAATATCATCAATATAGGCAGAAATAAAGTCGTCTAGGTATTCTCTCAGAATATGGTTGATATACCTCTGGAAGGTTGCTGGGGCACCAGTGAGGCCGAACGAAGTAACCAGCCATTCAAAAAGGCCATACCTAGTGTGGAACGCCGTCTTCTATTCATCCCCTTCGTGCATCCTGATTTTCCAAAAAGCAGATGAGACATCCAGCTTAGTGAACTATTTTGCCTTTGAAAGCTGACGGAGAGTGTCTGCAATAAGGGGTATTAGGTATCAGTCTTTGCAGGTAATAGAATTCAGCTTACAGTAGTCCACATAGAACCATAAACCACCTCCTGGCTTTCGTACGAAGAGTATAGGGGCAGCAGCAGGGGAGTTGCTGGCTCTGATGAAACCTTTATCCAGCAGATCCGTCAGGGTTTTCTGGAGAACTAATAGCTCCTCCTTGGACATGCTGTAAATAGGCCCCTATGGTGGTTGCTTCTCGTTTCTATGGTCGTCTTTCTCAAGCTGAATAGCGTGGCTAACACTAGGTTGGTGTGGTGGCAATTTGTCGGCTATTTCCTTCTTGAATAGATTAATCATATGGCGATAATGCGCTGGTAGTTTGGTTGCTAGGTTGGTTGATTTTTTTTGGAACCTAGCAAGCGCTTTTTCGATATCTTTCATAGTAACTGAGAAGATCTAGATCAGTTTGTAGGATCGCTAAGAAGAATGTATTCTCGTCGTGAGTGTGCTTGCAGCGACTGATCAGATCGTAGGGTCTGAGTCCCAGGTGGGGGAGTACTGGATCGTAATATATATTCCAGTCGTTCTAACGTAAAGTTCGTTATATTGGGGCCTGACTTGAACGTCTTGCTGGCGAGCCTAAGGGATACTGAGAATAACGTCTTCTGTTTAGTCTGGGATAACATAAGCAAAAACTCTCTGCTGCTTATATCTATCGATATCGATATCAAAGTAGGCCACCTATGTGATGGCTTGTTTTTGAATATGTGAGACTTACAAAAGGTCTCTAGGGGTGATGTTAATAATTAGGAGTTGAAGCTTTCTGGCCAGTTTCAAAGAAATAGACATATAGCAGTGGCAACCATCGTCGTATAGGGCTCTGGTAAAATATGTTATGTTGATTCTAATGTTCACATATAACCCTTCTTAGTCCATGCCGCCTTGATTCTGAAACTGATTCCATTCAGCTGTGACTCCTGCGCGCCCCTATTAATCTTCTTCGTTATCTTCTTCAACTGCAGCTTTAGTAACTCTGTCTCTGTCCTTAGCGATGCTTCTGTAGGCAGATATCTTCTGACCAGATGGGGGTACTACTGCTGCTAACGGACAATCATCTATCCTGCAACCGTCTCTTCCACAATAGAGACACCTCCTCTCGATCCTTCGTTTCTCAAGCTCCAATTTATCGACCTACTTTGCTCGTTTTCCGAGAAGGGATTAGTCCTCTGGCCGCTTAGAGGGGTATCCAGTAAGGTTCCTCTTTAGGTTGAATATTCTAACTTGAACAGTATTCGTGGGCTCCCACTCCATTATGTCTCTCGTAGGAGCAGCATTAGGTTGCAAACGAGGCTACGTAGGCTTTTGCAGGGCGTTCGTTTTCTTCTCATAAGTCTATTCTCTAAATAACTCTATTTAATTGCTGATCTCCTCGCATTTTTTTGCAAATGCTTTATATAAATTAAGATGCAACTGGGGGCAGCTAATAAGGTGGGCTTTCAGCTTTAGGTGAAGAGCGTTCTGAAGGTAAGATATCTTAGCTGAGTCTTCCTATCGTTCTGCCTCTGCGTTAGCAATCTCTTTTTCGAACCGTAGGTAGAATGCAGTGAATAATTCGATATCCTTCTGTCGGATCGTATATAGGGCTTAGATAGCTTTTTCCTTTTGATTCCTCTCGCCGTACAGAAGGTCTAGTCGTTAGATTAAGGCCTGGGGGCTTAGGTGTTCTTTTCTGAGTTTGAGTTCGTAGAAGGTAGTGATATTCGTTTTGGCTGATCCTTCTAAACAGGTGTATATATATCGCAACTGTGACTTCGTATTGCTAATCGCATCTGAGTCTTCCTCAATCTTGCCTTTAATCTCTAACTTCCAACCGCGCCATTATGACTTCAAACCGTTGAACATCGGTGGGTGTGGGAGGCTGTGGCGGGGTTTGCTGCTTTATGTCCTCAAAACTTTGAGAGATGTTAGGCTGATACCTTCATTAGTCGTCATTTTGTTAGTTGGTTGGTGTGTTGAGATGTTTCGTAATAGTGTGACTCGTTCTGGTGTTACGACCCGTTATGCATGGATAACAGTTGACCGACCCACTTGGGCGTCGGGCGGCTAGGACAGGACATTTGTACTGCAGGATCACGGGAACAACAGGAACTCACTCAGTAACAGAAGAACTAGTGTCTAAGTCACGTGATGATAAGATAACGATCATATTGGATCAATATGATCTAACACGACTTAGGGGCTAAACGATCATTCTGGATCGGAATGATCCAGATCGACCTAAGGTACAAAGGAATATGTTCAGAATTAGACTTATTTATAATAACCCTAAGCCTGGCTTATGGTCAGACTTCTATAGCTCTTCAGCAATCAACTTAGTATTCATCCTCACGGATACTCTCAGCTTACCTTCACTGCGAATCACTTATTGAGTCTAAGACTGATCACCTTGGCCTCTGAAGAACCGATCTACTACAGCCTACGACCTACAACCTACGACCACGACCCAGTGTACTGTTAGAACGTATCAATCCCCAGCTTCTGTTAGCAGATCCTACTGTCGGATAGCTGACCGTAACATCTGGTTCCTACTGATTGGATTGTCGACGAGGTGCCCTGCGAAGCAGTAACCTTCTACCTGACGACTGATTTGACTGCTGAATTGTCGACTCACTGGGTGTTCGACTGTCGTAAAACTACTAATCCAACTCTGTGAAGGACGTGAGTAAAAGTGTCGCGGTGGCGTTCTTGAAGAAGATTTATTATAATGTAAGGGTCTAGGACAAGGTTGATGCCATTGGTCTAGCCTACTACTACGAGTACAATAAATCTTCTTGAAGAACAGGAAACAGAACCGTATCCTCCCTATTTCCTGGGTATTCTTATAACCTTGCCATTAACCCTGTCGATATTCCTGGAACCTTCTAGCAAATGCGCCATTGGATTTGGTGGGTCCAATGAGTCGTGGCTGAGGGTCTTGCCGAAGGCCGAACACCGGTCCATAGACCGTGACACCATCAGTGACCGGGCCACTTTTCCCACCTTCATCACTCACAGCTTCCATATCTCGACCAAAATCAATTGAATCAATTGCAACTACTCAGAATCACTTGAACTACTTATTTCCACAGCCTCTGGACAGGTTCTTGCGTTGTGGCCGGTCTTGCGACAGATACCACAATGTCGTAAACCTGTCCGACGACGCTTCGACGACCCCTCGTTTTCCTCCTGTTCACACCCTTCCTCCTCAACAACACCCTTTTCGGCCATGACTTCCCTTGCCTGAGACCCATCTAGTGCCCCTCCGTCTTGTAGTCTAGTTCTTTTGGCTCTCCGACGCTTACTAAGGGCCATATTTGCTTCTCGAAGATTGCGTAGCTCTTCCTCCATAAGGGCAGCTGCATGGGCAATATACTGAATCCCTTTTTCAAGTTTATCGGCAGCTTCACAAATTGGAGTCGGCGAGCTTCCCTGATGTCTGGAGATTCTTTCCTTTATAAGTGAAGACTGAGAAATAGCCTCGTTGGTGGTTTGAGGCGTCTTAGAAACCCAAGGGTTGGGTAGCCTGTTAGGAGTGTTCGGGGCTGTTGGTGTCCGTAACTGCACATCCAGCTTAGAAAGGACAGTCTGAGGGTTATAGGGAATAAGCCTAGCCCCTCTAAAACCCCCATGGACGTTTTCCTGAGTAAAGGTTTGAAGGAATGCGGCCTTGAATGCGAGAAAGAACTCGGGTTTGGCGATGTGGGTAATCCGGGCCTTGATGAAGTGCTCAATCTGAGAGCCATATCTCAACTTCAACACACTATAGCAGCCAACGTCGAGAGGCTGTGTTAGATGTGATGAATGAGCTGGCAGACAGATAGTTATAATTTTGTTCTTCTTGCAATAGTCCTCGAAATCGCTGCTAACGTGGCTTTCATGGCTATCGACGACTAGCATCCGATATATGCCTCTCAGTCGTGGTTTTGAGTATTTATCGAAATACCGAAGCCATTCCAGGGCAGTCTCGTTATTGGTCCATCCATTGGAAGTTGTTTTGACTGCCCAGCTGTCCGGAATCTGGGCCTCGGAGTACCAACTCGCGAGGTGGAAGCGACCCTGAACCACCAAAAAAGGCGGCATCGCGTAACCATCACCAGCAACACAACAAATCGCGGTAGCCCATTCTCGGTTACCAGGCTGAACTTTTTTTGGCTTCCCAATCCGATCGGAACGTGTAACAACCATTCCAGGCCGGATCATACCCATCATAAAGCCGGTCTCATCAAAGTTGTAAAAATCATCGTCCGTAATACCGCATTTCGATCGCATATTGGCCACAAGTCGGAACCAAGGCTCGATAATTATACGATCTTCGCAGAGGCCCCTCTGATAGTCATAAACGCAAGAAAATCGCGTCTTAAGCTCCAGGCGTCGCTGGACGAAGCGTTCCGTCCAGCGCTTCCCGACCGGTCGGCCATCACGCTTCCGGAGCAGCGTATTGGCCATATCTCCCACATCCACACGTCTGGGCGAGAATCCTCGAGAATCCAGGTCAATAATGTATCGAACAATTGCCTCCTCTTCGGTCTCTGTCAAATTCAGCTGGGCATTCCTGCTATCGACCTTCGCACTTTGACCCTTCATTCTGGACTGGAGGGTAGTTCTCGGAACGTTGTAGATAGTCGCTGCACGTCGGATACTTAATCCCAGTGTCAATCGGATCGCATCAATTGCTAGAATGATCCTGTGCTCGGGCGAGGTTTCGGACATTGTTTTGTGGAAGAAAGGACGTGTCAAAGCTAGAAGGTGATGAAGGTGGGAAAAGTGGCCCGGTCACTGATGGTGGCCCACTCACTGATGAGCCACGTTAGTAGGTATTAATAGTTAACTTACTAAATAGGAGCAATTAAAATGTTATAGTCAGCTATCTAATAGTAAGGTCTGCTGATAGAAGCTAGGGATTAATATGTTATAACAGTATATTAGGGTTGTGGTCTGGGTTATAGGTTATAGGCTATAGTAGATTAGTCTTTAGAGGCTAAGGTGATTAGTTTTAGACTTAATAAGTAATTTATAATAAAGGTAAGCTGAGAGTATTTATGAGGATAAATACTAAGTTAATTGCTGAAGAGCTATTGAAGTCTGACCATAAGCTAGGCTCAGGGTTATATTATATATAAGTCTAAGGTAGTTTCCTTATTCTGAGGACTGATGTCTTTCTGAGCAGTCCCTAGGTGTGGACTGCTTTCTCTATATTAGTCCTAAGTTAGGGCTGCTTATCTCTTATTAGTCCTTCTTATTATTATGTGACTTATACTATAGTTCTTCTATTCTAAGTGAGGCCCTGTTGTTCCTATGATCCTGCAGAGTATAAATGTCCTGTCCTAGCCGCCTAACGCCTAAGTGGGGTTGGTCAACTGTTATCCATGCATAACAGGTCGTAACAACATCCTGGACGTCCCAGCTAGTGGTCGGCAGCTCTAATATCTTCATGAGGAAGTTGCAGCAGGCGCTATTAAACATAAGATCCCAGCTGGTGCGATGCATCCAGCTGGTCTAGAATATAATATCAACAGGCCTTATAGCAGAAATAGTAGTATGGACACCGCCAGCAAGATGGGCTTTTTCTGCATTATGAGCTGTGGCGAGCAGAGCGTGCTGGGCGGCAGGCATATTATTAGCATTAGGAGTCCCTGTCTCGCAGGGTGGCGTTAACCCTGCTGCAGTAGGCTGGGCTATCTAGAAACCCTGCGCACTGTTCTGCAACTAGCTTTATAGCAGGATGCTACTGTGGATATGGTCCTATTGCTAGCTGTTAGTCTTCTGCAAGCCTTTAATACTGTATAACTTTATGATATGGCGGCATATCAGGTTATCACTTGCTGTCTAGTAGCTGCAGCAGCAGCAGGTGTGGCTATAGGTAACTATTAGCGCTTTATGCAGTGGGAGGCTGTTAGGATAGAGAGTAATATTATTTAGGTCCCCTAGATATAGGGACTTCACTAAAGCGCTCAGTCCACAGCGTTATAGCTTAGGAACCTTATGTTTCTCAGCTAGGTGGCAGCTCACACGCTCCCTGAACAGCTTTAAGGCGTAGCTGCAGGGCTGGCAGATGAGGACTAGCTCAGGCTCGTTCAAATGCAGTTGCAAGGCTTCTAGGCGCTAGCGTTGCTTGTCCGTCAAGCTGCGTGGTGCTATAGGCCTAGACGGCAGCGACAATAGAAGGGGAGATAGGAGAGTCATGTTCACTAAGAACTAATTCAACTGTTTTTCTCTAATGAGAGAGGTGTAATAGAAAACAGGTTTTTTCCCCTGCTTTCTTCTTAATTATTACTTCGCTATAAACTTTTTTCTTTTTTCTCTCTTGCTTACTTTTCTTCATTTTCTCTAACTCTCTAAAGCAGAAGCTGTTGACCTACTACTCTTAGTTCCAGTTCACAAACCATCAGTCAGGAGAAGGGGTCTCATTTCGGAACGCATCGAGATTTCAATCGAAGATGGAGACATACTCAGGCTATTGCCGGCCAATCAGAGATCCCAGGGAACGCGTCGAGATTTCCAAGTCGGGCAGGGGGTGGCAAGCGGGGCTCCGGTCGGGTCGGGCCAATGGCTGTACACGGATGGCCGTATCTCGACGCGTTCCGGCATGGAATAACTGAGTAAGGAACAATAGGCGAGATACTCGTAGAAGGGCCCGGCGTAGCTCGGGAATACCTCGACGACGAGGCCCTTACGAGAGCCCCCTTTGTCCCTCGGCTATCGTGGCTTCCCCCAGGTCGAGAATCTGGGTGTTACCGCACCGGAGATACGGCGAAGTACAACGCAGATGGCAGCATGACCTTCACCGGTAGGCGACTTCACCGGCAGGCGAGATGGGCAAGTGAAGATACGAGGCCAGCGGTTTGGGTTCGGCGAGGCGGAACAAGCTCTCGTTCGTGTCTCTGGCGTCCGTGAAGTCGTCGCCTGCATGCAGCCGTGGCATAACGACGGTAACAAGCTCACCGCCGTAATATATTTAGCCGATGCACAGCTTGAGCATACAGCAAAATATCTCCAGGGTTCGGCCAAACAAGCAATAAGACAGATGTCTCTGCCAACAGACTACGACTTGTCCAAGCGCCTCGGGGGCATCAGGGACCATGTACTACAGTTACTCCCTCCTACATGGTCCCCACGGCTTGGTTGGTGGTGCAAGATGCAATGCCCGTGGTTACTTCAGGTAAACTGAATCGTCCCTCGGTTATTGCCTGGGTACGGTCGCAAGACATGGATGCGGTACGCGGTGCGCTCCAACCCTCCGCTACGATCGCGTTAAATGCGCCAATATCTAAACACGAGAAAACGATGCAGTCGGTGTGGGCTTCGGTACTGAATGTTCCCGAGCGGACAATCGGACGTGAAAGTAACTTCATGCTGCTTGTGGGAGACAGCATCGCCGCGATGCGAGCGGCAGGCATGTGTCGTAGGCGTGGCTTGGTCGTGCCATTGCAGGCTCTGACGCAAAGCTTAAGTCTCGCTGAGGTGGTGTCTCGATGCGATGAAGTTACAACGTCTTCATCCGCTGTGTCTCCTACACAGCCTTCCGAGAATCCAGTGGTCTCAGACTACCCGTTTGGGGGATTTTCCGCGATTGACATTGAAGCTGTTGCCGAAGCAAACGCGCAGGCACCTATGATCGCGCTGGGTGAGCTAGATCGACATGCCTTGGTCTTAAAGACTAGCCTCATTTTTGAGCCGCCTGCAGACGTGGATCGGATCAAACTGACATGCACCCAGGTTTTAAAAGCCCACGAAATTCCACGGACGGCATTCACTCAGAAGGGTCCGAGACTGTATCAGATTGTCTTGAGGCGCCCAGTAGACTCTCAAATAATACCAGACGACGGGCCGGTTCACTCCCAACGCAATGATATCTTACCACAATTCTACGTGGCCTCTGACGGAAAACGCTGCCATCGGCTCCGCCTCGAGATCCACCACGCGTTATACGACGCCATCTCCCTTAGAATGATGTGGAACGATGTCGCCGCTGGGTACGCCGGACGAGAGCTCTCTCACGGAACATCGTTCCTAGAATGGGCACGCCGGCTCACTCAGCTGGATCACTTGGAAGCAAAAGGATTCTGGCGGGTGACTCTAAAAGGATCTCGGCTAACCTACCTCGTGCCACCGCGGCAGACGCCTGAGACCTTGAAGCAAGTTGAGCTCCGTGTCTCGCTCCCAATTCTTGCAGTTCGCGGCCTGACGACAGCGAACCTCTTCAAAGCCGCCTGGGCCCTGTTCACGGCCCGCGAGGCAGGCACGCAAGACGTCGTCTTCGCCGAAGTCCTTGCCAACCGTTACAACCCATCTTTGTCGGCTAGTATAGACCAGGAAACCGTCCGCGGTCCGCATGAACACCAACCCCGTAAGAGCTCACTTCGAGTCAAACATGGCGTTTGTCGCGCTGCCTGCGCAGTTGCAGGAACAGTCCCTGGCCGCTGCTTCGTTCGCCTATCTCAGTTACCGGACAATCCAGAAGGACTGTACAGACTGGCCGTTGAACAGCCTGTTTGGATCAGTCGTGAATTTCCAAAGTCCTACGGTCTTGGGGCATGAGGAGCTCGACCTAGGAGACTCAATCACAGCTCGCATGATGCCTCCTGCTGCTAGTCATCCGTCACGATCTTCGGCCCTGTGGACGATTGTGCGTCCAACTGATGAACAGCTTGTCGTAGGCTTCAAATTTTCAAGCGCGGCTTTTGATGAGGAGAAATTGAAGGGCTTTGCCGGGCAGGTTGAGGACTTGCTGAAAACCAAGCCCCGTGACATCAGCCTGTGGATATCCAAGGCTTCCCATTGATTCAGGAGCGAGGCCTCCAAAAGTCCATCGCTGGCAGCTTCCGCTGATGAACAAGCTTGTGTGAATCAGTAATTCATAGACGAGACTCCCGAGGAGGTACGTCTTGTGGTGCTGGAAGTGTGGAAAGCAATTGGTTTGGAAATCAAGGAGGATCATGCGCCCATTTTTGAATGTGGGGGAGATACCGTTACTGCTCTGTTGTTGTCCAGACAATACCGCAGACAGGGCTATGACCTCACCATTGGAGCCGTGTTAGCCAACTCGTCACGTCAAGCACAGGCAAACTTGCTTTTTCGCTCCGGAATGTCACAGCTGTCCGACTAAAAAGATGCCGTCATTAGATTTTGTATGCTATGCGCCCTTCGATCTTATCAGCCTAAGCCACCATACCTCCAAGCTTCCCTGTGAAGTCTCTAAAGCCCGCAGAATGAACAATATTCACGGCCCAGTCTTCCCTTCAGAGAACATGTTTGTGATCGTGTGGTATTTTCTAAATACTGCGCTACGAAAATGTTACAAAGGAGAAGGTTATCCCAGCAGAATTATGCCATCCGTCGCTCACAGAGTACAGTCGAACCCTGAAGGTGTGACAGACTCAGAACCTTTCTGACTATCACAGCAGCTCGCGAATGCATCGAAATTCGCAGCATTGCAGAGGTTGCCTGACAACTTGTCCCCTGTCCCTTTGCAGCATCTTTTGCCAGCCTCGATGTCATTTTCTATGCCATTCTGCGTAATCGCGAGACAGGTGCAGAGGCCAGCCACATTACTCGCACCTTGCAAAAGCAGGAGACCGACAGAT